AACTTGCATTTTCGGCATGACGCTATGAACTACAAAATCGCACAGCGAGGAAAAAAATGGCGGACTATGAAATCCAGTTGGCCAGAAATACATTACCATAAATGGTAGTTCAGAAGAAAAAAGTGGGACGAAATAAATAATGAAACGAAATAAGCAACACCAGATTTTGAACAAAATGAAAACTCTGACCCATAAAATAATATAAAAATAGCTTTGTAGTAAATGGACAGAATAAATTAAAGTTTTCTACACTCCTAGACACTATAATTGCACAAAAATAGTTTATAAATGCAAAAAAAGTGCATTTAGCATGATATGTCTCCTTTAAAATTTTGAATTTTTCCCTGTGAGCTAGCAATGTTTTTATTTCTTTCCAACTGGGAAATCTTAATATACAAAAACTATTTGAGGTTTCTTTTTTATATTGACATCAATAATTACTCAATAAATTTACATAAAATTAGGATTCATACCAAACTGTAATATATCATCGTAACCAACAAGACAAATTAAGTCATATCTCTGGATAACCTTAAGATATCAGAATAACCCAGGTATCAAAATGAAGTTTTTAAATCCAGGAACTGGAAAATGTAATTAGGTCATTTTGACCCGATTTGACTTAATCCTCATTTCGATATGATGGGTCACACATATGTTCCGTGAAAGATGGTCCGATTGAAAAGAGTGCGCAACACAAACAGCACTTCTCTATCCACCATTGTTAAGGCTTTTCCATGTTCTGTAAAACGCGGAGAAGTCTATTCTAGCTAARGTAGCTGCGATACATTAATGATCATCCAAAACTCCAAGACAAACTGCAGTGCAAAAACCGTGGGAAGCCCCTTTCGAGTCCAGGGTTTCCATTCTTTCTTCTTAGTACAGAATTTTCCTTCTTTTACTGCAACAGACATTTTTATTACAGGGCCTCAGACTTCAACTATTACCTTTTCCTTTTAGTTCAGTCAACCTGTGGCTCATTGTTGCAATGTGAGTAATTATCTACTCATTATTTTCATTTTAATATAAGGTTTTCAATACAGTAAAACCTTAATGTGACTATGTGCTGTCTCTGCTGCAAAGAAAATCTATATTCTGAAATGTGTAATTAGAAGTCCATTGAACTTGTAAAATCATAGAGCAAACCATTTTCACATATATTCTCACTTTATAGTTCAAGCCCCTCAGTGTACTGCCTAAGCGAATATAAAAAAACAGGACATTTCTTTACTGAGATGAAAATATCCACTTTTTTTCTTATGCTTTGTGGGTAAATGATATTGTAGATTCAATGCTCTCTGAAGCCCTATTTGTATGTGAAGAGCCATGTGATGAAATTCATATTTGTGCGTGCAGTCCCTTCTAAAGCAGAACACATTAGCTGTCAGATGCGGGGTATGTCAATGTAATATCCTTTGTGACACAATCAGGATTGTTTCCCTCATCCCTCTGGACCTGTCTGCAGTCATTAATCTTAGAAAGGGGGTTAGCTGGCAGCAGCACAGAATTCAACCCCTTTTCACATTACAAATTGATAATTTTTTGATACACTGCCAGAGGTCTATGTAAAAAATACTCACAGCAAAATGAACCAGATAAAGACAAAACTGTGAGCTTCTTTCTTTTATTTTAAATACATTTTAAGAAAGACATGAACACATAATTATGTTATTGCATAATAATTTTGTATGCACTGAATGCCAGGGAGCACATTGAGTCTTTACATAAGCCACAGACAGTTTTAATACCACAGGAGAAGAATAGCTAAACACAAAATATCAAGTGCATATTAGTTTTTCACACTGGGAACTGGATCCACTGTTGCTTCCTCTCAAATTAATATAATAATAATATCGATAAAAGACAATATACTGTATCCAAGAAAATTTAATAGTTCCTGCCAAAAATGGATTCCAGTCAGATGGCATAGACCAATATGTAGATTTAAAAAAGTGACTGCCTCAAAACAAATATAGTTCTTACTTGGCTTGTCAGAGGCAGACAYTGAAGGGAACCCTCAGGTCACGTGCACTGCAGAGTGACACTCCTCCAATTCAGTGTGTGAGCTGTCAATCAGATGGCCAAAGGTGGGGAAATCCCCAGAAATTTTTCCCTCAAGTTGCCTGGTCGTGTCTTTATGGCAGGAGTGCCATCCACCTCTCTTTTTAAGGTAGTGCTGTTTTGAAGCAAATGTCTGAAGTTGTCAGTTATGTTTTATTTTTAATTAAACATCCTTATCAAGGCAGATAACCTGGCCAATTAAGTAGCAAACATTAGCTGGTTAATGACRCTAATGACTCTCTGTGTGAGGGGTGTGAGTTAATTATGCGTGTTGCACAACAGGGCTTCTCATGCAGTCAGAAAAAATAAAAT